GGAGGCCTCGGTGGGTGGATCACCTGAGGTCAGGAGTTTGGAGACCAGCCTGGCCAACATGATGAAACCCCGTCTCTACCAAAAATATTTAAAAACTAGCCGAGTGTGTGGCGGGCGCCTGTAATCCCAGCTACTCAGGAGGATGAGGCGGGAGAATCGCTTGAATCTGGGAGGCGGAGGTTGCAGTCAGCCGGGATAGCGCCACTGCACCCAGCCTGGGTGACAGAGTGAGACTCCGTCTCAAAAATAAAATAAAATAAAATAAACTGGACGGTGCACGCTGGCTCACGCTTGCATCCGCAGCACCCCCGGAGGCCGAGGCAGGCGGATAACCTGAGGTCGGGAGTTTGAGACCAGCCTGACCAACAGAGAGAAACCCCTTATGTATCAAAAAAAAAAAAAAATAAATAAAGAAAATTTAGCAGGCTATGATGGCTCCCGCCTGCGATCTCAGCCACTTGGTAGGCCGAGGCAGGAGAACCACCCAAACCCAAGAAGCAGAGGCCACGGGGAGCTGAGACCGAGCCACTGCACTCCAGCCTGGGCAACAAGAGCGAAACTCCGCCTCAAAAACAAAAACAAAACAAACAAAAAAGGGAGACCCGGTTTCACCATGTTGCCCAGGCTCAAGCCTCCATAGCGCTTGGCCATCCGAAGTCCTGGGATCACAAGCGTGGCCAGGCCAATCTATTCCTTTCCGATTAGTAAATTGGGCCTTACGCACTGGCTCACGCCTGCAATCCCAGCAGCCACGGAGGCCGGGGAAGGCAGATAACTTGAGGTCGGGAGTTTGAGACCAGCCTGACGAACATGGGGAAACCCTATCTCCACCAAATAAAAATAAAAATACAAAATACAAAACGAGCCCGGCATGGTGGCTCACGTGCAATGCCAGCCACTCAGGAGGCTGAGGCAGGAGAACCACCCAAACCCGGGAGGCGGAGGCCGGATGAGCCGAGACCTCGCCATTGCCCTCCAGCCTGGGCAACAAGACCGAATCTCTGCCTCCAAAAAAAAAAAAAAGTGACCGGGTTTCACCATCGTGCCCTGCCTGCCCAGGCCAGTCTGGAACTCCTAGGCTCAAGCGATCTGCTGCGCTCAGTTGTTGAAAGTCCTGGAATCACAAGCGTGAACCACCACACCAGGCCGATCTATTGTTCCTTTCCGATTAATAAATTGGGCGGTGCAGGGTGGCTCACACCTGTAATCTCAACACCCGGGGAGGCCAAGGCCAGCGGATAACCTGAGGTCGGGAGTTTGATACCAGCTTGATGTACATGGAGAAACCCCTCTCCACCAAAAAGTAAATAAATAAATTAATTAAAATACAAACTGAGCCAGGCATGGTGGCTCACGCCTGCAATCCCAGCCACTCAGGAGGCTGAGGCAGGAGAACCACCCAAACCCGGGAGGCTGACGCCATGGGCAGCAGAGACCCCACCACTGCACTGCAGCCTGGGCAACAAGAGCTAAACTCGCCTCGGGAAAAACAAAAAAATAGAGAGAGACCGAGTTTCACACACTGCCCAGGCCAGTCTGGAACTCCTGGGCTAAAAGCATCCTCCCTGGGATTATCTTAAAGTGTAGTTGGAAAAAGTAAACTAGCCCCAAAAACTTTTTGCAAAGCCTCATGTATAGGTGTTCCTAAATGATAAAATTGTGCTGCTTATTTTAAATATTTTGAAGTTTATAAAACCAATTGAGTTGCTTAACTATTTTGACATTTATAAAACTGGTAGCATGAAATTTTTTGAAATGTTTAACAACACACAGTATTTCTTGTAAACTTCATCCACACTCATGTATGGAGCGGTAGTTAACCCATTTTCACTGCTGTGTACTATTGCATTGAGTAAACTTTCCACAACTGATCTACTTTTTCCCATTCTTCCCACCACTCAACTGCCCCGATTCCTTCTATCATCCCTGAAAAACTGTATTTCCCAAAGATGGCACAACAATATTCCTCGTACCATGTGCTCTTCTCTTTGTGACATTGCCACTATCCCATCAGGAAGCGGAGTTTAATTTCCCTCTCCTTGAATCTAGGTGGCCTTGCGACTGCTTCAACCAATAGAGCATTGCAGAAGTGACGCTGTGTGACTTCTGAGACTAGGCCATAAGTCTTATGATGACGCAGTTTCCACATTGTTCACCAGAACACTCATGCTCTGAGTGACCATGAGTCACCATGTAAAAAGTCCAACCACCCCAGGGCCACCATACAGAAAGGGAAACTAAGTACGGACCTGTTTCACATGAAACGTTCTCTCAGATACTTTGAAGGTGGGAATCTGGGCACCCTGTCATCCTTCAACCTGGCACTTTGACAGGTCTTTAGGGAGGGTCCTTTGGGCCCCATCTGAACTCTCTCATTACAGAGGAGTCCAAGGATCTGGTCGGCCACCTGCAACATTCATTGCAGCATAGAGGGGAGTTACAGCGGGCTCTCTCTGCTGTCACCGCCACACAGAAGAAGGTGGATAGGGTGAGTCCGACCACCCGCCCTGTGCCCTGGGAGCCCGGCTTCGCAGATGGAGGAGTGAGCCTAAGGGTCCCTTCTGCAGGATGGAGTGGCCTGCCCAGAAGGCAGCATGGCCAGGTCTCGCTGCTTTTGTGTGTGGTTGTTAGAGGCAGCCTGGGGCTGAGTCAGCTGCTGTGGGTGAGTTGGGGGGCGCAGTGGGGGGTGAGCACTAGATGCAGAGCTTGGAGGCCAAGTGCCTGCCCTGCCCTTACCTGGCTGTGGTCTTGGCCAAGTCCTAGGTGGGGTATTGGGTACTTGTTCTGTGAAGGTACAGAAGATTACCTTTAGTATGTTACCATTTCTGTAGAGAGGAAACCTGTGTGTGTGTGTGCGCACATATTATGATAGTATACATAAAACATGTCTGCAACAGTTCAAAAAAAAACTCGGGAGAGAGCAACAGGGTGGCTGGGAGATACTTCCCTTCTGTACCTTCTGAGTTTTGGACTATGCAAAGGTATCATCGTTTCAAAAACTGAACGAAAGATTAATTTTCCCCTTCCTATCTGTGCTTTCAACCCCAGCAAGAAAATGGGCTTAGAGAATCAGATAGACCTGGGTGTTCAAATCCCAGCTCTGCCTAAGTGATGTTAGGCAAGCATTTAACCTCAAATACTCCATGTTTTTTCGTCTACACAATAGAGGTCGTCATAGTAACTGTCTGCTATGGTGGTTGTGAGAAGTAAATGGGATTGCTAGCGTGGTACCTGGTGAAGCACTCCATAAACGTTCAGACAGTGCTAGTAATAACAGTAATAACAAGAGCAATATTATCTGATCTCTCTGGGCCTCTGTTGGGCAGCTGTAAATTCCGTCTCATTCCCTGTCCCAACTTTACTGAGTTCTTTTAAAAACCAGACCATGGGCTCGGAAGTGCATTGATCTTTATTGACTGAGTTGTATATTGAGCCTAGCTCTAGCCCTTTTAAGGGGCACTGTGTGGAATGGCCCGGGCTCCCCAGATGGAAACTTCTCACTCTTCACCATCCAGTTCTCAAGCCGCAGTCAAGCACTTACTGAGTGGCAGTTAGAGTGGTCCATACAGGAGAAGGCACGGCTGAAAGCAAGCCTGACACAGGTGAGGTTTTGCAGAGGGAGGGATGTGGAAGGAAGGTGACCCCAGGTGGCCAGGAGCAGGTGAGGACCAGTGACAGCCCTTCCTAACTTCTGTGCCCATTCTTGCAGTTGAAGGAGTCACTAAGACAAACCCATCTAGAGAGAGATGAATATGTTCAACATCTAAAAGGAGGGCCCAGTGGCAGCACAGGATGAGGAAAATGTCACAGGAGGTGAGGTCTGATCCTTCAGCTCCCCCATCTTAGATGGGTCACGGAATCTTTCTGGGCATCTGTAAAATGGGAACAGTACAGCCAGAGGTGGTCATGGGTCTGGGCTTTGTGGAGGTGGGGGCAGAGAGGGAGATGGCAGCCACCAGCCACCAGCCCCGCTCTCCAGGGCCTGTCTCTTATACACATCTAGATGTGTATAAGAGACAGCACCTACTCAGGAGGCTGAGGCCCGAGAATCACTTGAGCTCAGGAGGTGGAGGTTGCAGTGAGCTGAGATTGCACCACTACACTGTAGCCTGGGCCACAGAGTGACACTCTGTCTCAAAACAAAACAAAAAGGCTCCTTAGATTAAAACTGGATTCCAGCCTCGGTTCCACTGGTCACCATTCAAGTACTTTGCATCTCTAAGTCTCTGTTTCTTTAACTTCAAAAGGAAGTTAGCATTTTCCTTACAGAAGTGCTGAGGATTAAATGAGATAATACATGGAAAGCATTAGGCCTGTAGCACACTTAGCACATAGTGGTTGGCTCCCACTGTTTTTCCATCAGTCGGTGGCCTACAGTTTAAATAGTAAGAAAAGGGTATGCCATTTGAGGATGGGGAAAAAGACATGGGGTTCTAGGAAAGGGAGGCAGTCACTGAGACCTGGAGCAAGGGGCCCAGGTCCTGGGAAGACGACAGAGCCCCACAGTGCCCTCACTACCCTATTAATGGGCCCAGAATCTGGAAGCCAGCCGCCACGTGCCCTCACACCCAGGGTCTTCCTGCGGGTGGAGCTGAAGAGCCAAGAGGCTCAGAGTCTGCAGCAGCAGCCAGACCATTATCTGGGTCACCTGCAGCAGGCTGTGGCCATCTATCAGCAGCAGGTGGCCGCCTATCAGCAACCGACCTCTGAGAAGGAGGCGCTGCACAGGCAGTTACTGCAGCAGACTCAGCTAATGAACCAGCTGCAGCAGCAGGAAGCTTGGGGCAAAGCGGTGGCCGAGATGGCCCGCCAAAAGTTATAGGAGACCCAGGAGAGGGAGCGGCTGAGGACGGGCCCATGAGGGGGACGACCTGGCAAACTCCGTGCCTTCTCACTCTTTCCTGGCCCCTTAGGAGCACCTGGAGGCTGCCAGGCAGCAGAATCAGCAGCTGCAGGACCAGTTAAGCCTCACGGCTCTCCCTGGGGAAGGTACGGGAGACCACTCAGAGGAAGAGGAGAGAGCCCCAGGAGGAAGGGGGGACTGTTAGCAGCGTAGGATTGAGGAGCTGGAAGAGACCTTTAGAACAGGTGGCCATTATGCTGACCGGGTGCCTGCACTAAGTTCGGCATCAATATGGCGACCTCCTGGGAGCGGGGGGGCCACCAAGTTGCCTAAGGATGGCTGAACTGGCCCAGATCAGAAAGGGAGCAGGTCAGAACTCCCGCACTGACCGGTAGTGGGACTGTGCCTGGGCAGTATAGCAAGATCTTGGTTCTTAAAAGTAAAAATAAAGAACAGCAGCTCATTCCTCTCTGGGAGGGGCTGGCTCAGGGTTACCCAGTGAGGGTGGAGGCAGAGGTGGGCCCACAGTACCTGCCTTGTTGGGTTGTCTGAGGAGCCCTCTGGCCACCCCCCAAAGGAGATGGAAGACAACATGTGGACAGTGAGGAGGAGGAGGGTCCTCGGCCTATGCTGAGGGTCTCACAGGACCTGGAGAGCTGGGAGGCCATGGTGAGCCTGACTCCCCCTGCACCCATTTTACCACCTTCCTCTGTGGTCCCTGCAAGACCCCTTTATGCTCTTACTTTCCCTGCCTTCTGATTTCTCTGGACCCTCATCCCTTCCAGGAGCCAGTGGTCAGACCCCATTTCACCTGTGACCAACAGGTGCACACTCTGAGGCCCCACGGGAAGGGGCCGCGCTCCACCCCTCTGCCCCGTTTCTTCTGTGTATGCCCCTACAAGAATGCTCAGGTCTTGCCCTCAGGTGCCATTTTTCAAATCCGCTGGAGCCAGTGCCCAGGAGGAGCAGGCACGGTTATCAGAGCAGGTGAAAGAGCAGAGGGTGTGCTGCCAGCGCCTGGCTCACCCGGTGGCCTCGGCCCAGAAGGAGCCAGAGGCAGCGGTCCCAGCCCCAGGGGCTGGGGGTGAGTCTGTGAGTGGGGAGACCCCCTGGACCCTGCAGGAAGTCATGGAGAAGGTGTCCTATACCAGGACTCACTTTCAGCTTCCCCGTGACTTGAAAGTGCCACCTGAGGGCAGGTTGCTCTCGAGATGTGACCACATTATTTTGGCTTCAGGGCGACTTTATAGATGTGTATAAGAGACAGTTCCTGAGATGTGACCACATTATTTTGGCTCCAGAGCGGCTGTATGGACCACCTGGAGGAGAAGGCGGACCTGAGGGAGCAGGTGGAGAAACAAGAACTTTGATTCATCCAGTACTGGAGAGAGAGATGCCATCAGTGAGTGGGAGGCCAGGGCACGGCAGGGGGAGCTACAGGGCCCTAGGAGGGGCCCCAGCGTCTGAGCCCTGTCCTCCTGCAGGAACGTTCATCACCTTGTAACAGAGCCAGGGGCTAGTGCCAAAGATGCGGCAATGGGAGGAGGACATCATCAGGCTGGCCCAGGGCAGGGAGGAGATGAAGGTAGCGTGTGCAACATCTCTGTGGGGGTGGGCGTAGGCGTGAGGGTGGGCGCCGGCAGCGGCGTGACAGCTGAGCACTCCTCCCTCCAGGTGAAGCTGCTGGCGCTGCAGGAGATGCTGTTGCAGCTTGTGGTGACTACAACAAGGGGCACCACAAATTCCTGGCCACTGCCCAGAACACTGCTGATGAGCCCGGTCCAGGAGCCCCAGCCCCCCAGGAGCTTGGGGCTGCCGACAAGCATGGTGGTGAGTAGAGCCCTCAGGCGGGGCGGGCAGGCAGGAGCAGGGGCTGCTGGCGCTGCGCTCAGATCCCCACCTCCAACTCTCCAAAGATCTTTGTGAGGTGAGCCTCACCGACAGCGAGGAGCCTGCACAAGCAGAGGCCACGAAGGGATCTCCCCAGGACAACCATTCTGCACAGCCCACGTGCAGGAGCACCAGGAGCACCCAGGCTTGGGCAGCAACCGCTCTGTGCCCTTCTTTTGCTGGGCTTGGCTGCAGAGAAGAAGGAGATAAACATCACCATCATCAAAGAGCTGCTCAAGACATTTTTTAAAAAGAAACAAACTTGTGGGGTTAATCTCCTACACAATTCATTTACTTCATTTGCATGTTAGAGCTACTCATGATGATTTGTGTTTCTAATTTATATTTTATTTGTAAGAAGTTAAAAGAGAGTGGGTCTCTGTGGCTTTCACTGATGTTCATTCTAGTTAGCATTTTTCTTTTTTAATTTCATAATTGTAGGTCATTAGCATGCATATCGAGTTTGGCCTTACGTGGTGGGAGTTCAAACACATGAAGACCCACTGTTTGCATAGAACTATTCTCACTGGTTTGGCATAGGCTGCCATGCTTTTTAAATGTTATTACAGCGTGTATGTTCATTACAGAATTCAGATAAAATTTCCTTATATTGTGCTATTGTTTGATCTAATCTTAATCACAGCAAGGTCTTCATTCGCTCAATATGTGGTTTACCCCCAAGTGTGCACTGTTGATTACTTTGTAATACGCCACCGTGAGTACTGACATTAGAGTTGTTTAAAGTCCGAGAACTGGAAACAGCCTTTCCCCCATTTTCTGTGTACTGGTAGTGGGAGTAATAACGTTTTGGGGGAGCTTTTTAAATCTTACCGAAGAGGACAGTGGCCTGCTCCGGCAGGAATGTGCGGGATACAGTGTGTTTCATTTGTTCCGGTGCCAAGAATGAGCGCTGTACTATGGCAGTTCCCTTAGGATTCGTGTGTGCTCTGGGCTCATGAAGATATTGCATCAGGAGCTGTAGCAGTTGTATTCTTTTTCGATGACCTAAAAAGGGATTATTTCTGAGGAATGAAAGGTTTGCATCATTGACTGGATGTGGAAAACTTTTCCTAGCTTAGAGCATTTGTATATATAATATATTTTAAAGTCAGAGTTCATGTTACCTGTTTTAATCACATGACTACATGTCCCAGTTCACAAAAGGGTGCTGGCTGGTATTCTTCTTAATGTATTTAGTAAAGATAATAAGAAATCCTTTATGAGTTTAAATGTCCCAGGAACATGTATACAGGCTGTAGTCAAGAATAAGTTAGAGTGAAGGAAAGCCGTGTGACACCTGGCATTCCTCTCTGTTCACGGAGCTTCTTTGAGGCTTGAAGATTGATTTTACCATCTAGACCTCTCTGGCTAATACCTATTCTTCAAACACCTTGGTTACTCTGACATAGGAATTTACTTCTTTCCTTGAATGGAAAACACTTAAAAAAAAATAACATTATTATAAATGAATATATGTGAGAGTACTTAGTTGAAACAAAAGGAGTTTTAGGAGACAGTATTATACTATCTTTGAAAATCAAGGGGAAGTTTATGCAACTTAAAATGTTTACAAACTGCAGTGCAATCTACTGTTTGTGAATGTCAATGTATTATCAGAAAACGTGTCTATACAATCACAGGTATATTTCCTCACAAACTTCTTTACGAAGAGTGAAATATGTTTTTGTACCTCTTCGTTTCAGTTAGGGACATATTTTGTGCAATATTTATGTGATTGTGCCTATGCATGATGAATGAATGAATTTCAGTCATATATTGCCTAAATCATAACTTGATGATGCTTGGGAAAGAATCAACAGTTAAAACTTCATGAGATTCTAATGTCTGTGTCCAAAACACATCACAGTATTAGGATGTGGGGAGATATGTACGTGTGCTCCCTGGGGTGGGGATTTCTAGTTACTAGACCATCTCCATTTTCAGCATTTGGCATCCTCATGACACTTTTATAAATATGATATTAACAGAAGAGCAAAATACGATTTTATGATGGAATAACTGATTTGCCTGCATTCACTGAAAACGTGCTAATATTGGGTCCTTGTGACTTCAACTGACTCTTTCAAATTGTATGAATGTGTCAACGTATGAGATACACCCAGTTTCAGGATGATAAAGAAAAATGTTAGACCATATAATGCAGCTAATTAATAGTGGTACGATTAATAGTGCTACTGTGTTTTTCCTTTCTGTTGGAGCACAAGAACATTCAATAGAATTTTCACTAAAGAGGAGCTGTGAGTATATTAGTGGGAGGGGAAGTGGAAGTGTCATCTATTTTTTAAAAGGTGGCAGATCCACAATATATAGTGAAAAATTGGGAGAAGGAAAAGCCAAAACAAATGAACTCATTTAAAAACATTATCTGCATTACCCTGGAAGTTATCAAAATTGTATATGCTATATCAATATATTTTTGGAACCATTTTATGGAAGTATTCTTGATAGAGTTTGAAGGCATTTAATGCATGCTCTTTTTTTCAGGTGTCCAAAGAGAAGTGCGCTTTTTGCAATAGATTGATATTCTCTAAGCCTGCTTCCCACACCAACTAATATCAGATTCACTAGAGTTTATTAAGAATAGATTTCTAGCTCTTACTCCCAACCAAATTAATCATAGTTTTTGGGAACTAACCCAGGTATCTTCATTTTCAACCAGCATCTAAGATTTGGCCAGTAAGTTGTGAGAGTCAACAGATTTTACTTTTTTTTTATATGACATAGATGTAGGCAGAAATATCTAAATACAGTTATAATCACCCCAAATCTTTTTTTTCCAACTATCATAAATTACCACAAAAATTTTGTTCCATGTGAAAAGATTACCTAATGAATGAATAAGTAACTTGGAACTTTAAAGAAAATGGACACTCATTCACACACGTATGTAGAGGAAGTGCAGTGCAGTAGAAGAATTTCTTTTCTAGATTAATGGTTGTAAATGTCCCCAATCAAATATTAGTTAATAAGGCAACATTGTCCTTTGAAAAATAATTTGAGAAATGACAGTAATTTCATTTCTGCTACTAATTTTTACCTCTGATTGCTAAATGATCTAACAACTACCCATTGTTCTCCCTGTGTTTGTTTTCTAGTGTCAATTTGGTAGACTTAATTACAGGTGATAATAGTAGCATTTTTGAGGAATGACAATCTTGTGCATTTGAATGCATGATTATGAAAGCACTCTTGACAAATGAATTGATCACCTACACAAAATAGGAACAGGTGTAAATGCAGGTCAGTCAAATGGAAGATCAATCATGTGAAGCAATATTTTCCAACAGTTCTTTTGAGAGATATTCAGAGAAACAAGAAGGAAAGTATGTTTCAAATAATCTTGGAGATGCTATATCTTAAAACATACTAGGTACATTTTTGTTTGTTTTTAACTCCAAGATTTCTTAAACAACGAACAGACCAATGTGCAGTGAATTTCTTGGAGGCAACTGTATAGTTCACTGTTGAATGTATTTGGCAACAAGACATTTTTGCAGTTATCTTGTGGGACTAGGATAATGTGAGATGGATTCAGAAAATCTGAATTTAAGAGTATACAGCTCTGATGAACCACATTATCTATTACTTCTAGCCAGTTTAAGATCTGTTTCTAGGAAAAACAATGAATTTTAGACTTGTGTACTTCACGTAGTAAGGCCCATTATAAAAGTTTAAAAACCTTCCCTTATCCTCCTTTTTCCCAAAAGCATATATAATTCTTTTGCCTTGAGAATGAATAACGGTTTTTTATCACTTCAAACATGATTGAGTAACCTACAAAGGCCCAAATACAGTGGGAAAGACAGAAGAGAGTACCAATTCGTTGGTTATTGATTATAGCTCTGCTGATTTTGTGCCCTCCCATCTTGGTCATTTTTATGGGTTCTAACATATTCCATCTGTTGAGCACCTATCTCTCTGTGTCTTTGAACTGACACTGAACACATGGTGGACTCTAATTAGTTCTTTTACAATTTCCTGGAGTATGCCCTTACCTGTTTATTTGAAATCTCATGGTCTCTTGATAGCTCTTTACTATCTACACTGTTATGCATAGTTCAAAGATAGAGAAAACACAGTGGACATAGAGATCAACTAACTCACACTACAAAAGAGGAAATACAACATATTACTTCTTATCTACTCCTGCCCGTGTGACTTTGCAATGTAATCATGATTCTTTGAAACCTCGCTGATTTCTACAGTCTCCAGACCTAAATTCTCCAAAGTGATACCTTCAAACTACTGCTTAGGACATGGCCTGTCCCTAGGGGAGAGTGAGGTACCCCCCAATCCCTGCCACTCACATAGAAACGTTTATGGGAATAGGACTAAGCTAAAAATTCATGAGGCAATGAACTGTTTCTGAGCCAGTTTTAGCATTGTTTCACATCTCTGTATTCCAGGGCTTAGCTTTGCAGCTGCTGCCTAACACAGAGAAAGCCCTCAGTATCTTTGTGTTAGAGGAATAATCAGAAAATAGAGATAAATAAATTGAAAGCAACAGCTAGAGGAAATTATATAACCGGAGCTAATTTTCAACAATACAAACTGTATTCCTTGAAGGACATGGTCTAAAATTTATTTTTTTAAGGTAGAAAAATGATTATCTTCTTTACTGTATTTCCAAAAACCATGATTAAGACCTCATCAATTTCTGTGGCTGTGATCAGATATTTTATACTCTGGATAATTAGTGGACAGTTTTGCACCTTTGATTTGATATTATACCATCAGTATTCAACAGTTATTTTAACCACTACTGAAATATTTTAAATCCACTGCCATTTAATCGTAGTAATTATCCTTTCTGCAGAAGTTTCCAGTGACAGAGAACTATCCTGTATTTGACAGCCAATGATGAATAGTGCTTTTTTGACACTAAGTTTTCAGGCTAGCAAGTAAATGAGGATCCTTCACATTTTCTTTGCTTTGCCTTGCCAAGTGTCAAAACTGTAAGTCCTCTGGCTGACATTTGACTTGGTGAAACTACAACTGGCTCATTGGTTGTGGGTCTGTTAGAGAAAAATTATATATATAATCAACTGTCAGCTCAGATGAATTTCTCAGCTATATTGCTTACTTTTGTTGGTCACAGAATTAACTGGAAAATGTATTTTCCTCTCTAGTCTCCCTTAGAAAATAATAATTGAATTCATTTCCCACACATAAAAACTCTCATCTCCTGCTTTGTTTTTTTTTTTTTTATAAAGAGAAACTTTAGCACAAAATACATATGGCCCAAAGACATTTTGAAACATATACTGAATATACTCTACAAA